CGAGACACAATAAAGGTCCAACTTGACTTTTAGCAAATATAAACCATATTGTGAAAACCATAACAATTATATCACAACAAATAAGACATATCAAAAGAACAATTATCTGACTACGTTCAGTAAACTGACTTCTACTTCATCATTGTAGAAATGTGCTTTTTTTATGTCTACCAAAAATTAGTTATCTACACCTTTTTATCCTATATGCGGGGTAACTTGTATCGGGCAGGTGGCAAAAGGTTTAAAGCCTTATTATAATTTTAAAGGTATTTCACAAAATAATTACATTTATAACTAATGCTAAAACTACCAACGGAAGAAAATACTTTTTATATTGATTTTCAAAGATTACCGTTTATCTCCCCCATTTCAAAGATTATCGTTTTCAAATCAAGTTTGTAGCTGGCTATACATCTTTTTTCCTCTACTTTCAAATATTGTTGTTAAACAATGCTAACTTTACTTGATTTTTGGCACATCGGTGGTGGACCTTTTTAATCCCGGACCTTCATATTATATTACTATCTATCTTGCGATAAATTCTGGGAAATTATAACTGGAAAAATGTTATTCGACAAATGTCCATTTGATCGATACCAAATTTAGGTTCTGGATTTAAATAAGATGAATAAAAAATAATATAACCTAGAAAATGTTTTATAAATACCAATGAGTATATAATTATACAAATGAAATCTTTCAGAGCACCGTATTTGAGAAAAATATGCCAAAAAGTGCATTTTCATATTAACATATCAAAAAAGTTTATATTTTGAGTCTCTAGTAACACTTGCAGCCCGTTTACTAACGTTTTTGTATATAAATAAAACTACAAACAAAATTACTTGCTACAATTTAATCATAATTAAATTATATTCACGTAAAACATCCTATTAAACATAATCGAACATCATTTTTATATATAAGATAATCTATTTGAAAACATTTAATATTCCTCGAACATTTCGTTACGATACGGAAAGTTCCTCCAATTTGCCTTAAGGCACGATGCCATACACCATGTAAGTACCATTTTACCCACAGGCTAGTTGCATAAACTTCCTGATACTTTATATTGACCAATAAGAATTGAGATTCAGGTATTTAGGTAAAATATTCAATTGGTTATTTCGGAAATAAAATTTTCGCTTTCACCAAAAAATAATTAATTCGATTTCCAATTGAAGCTTTTCAAACATACTTATAATACACGTAATTGCATAAATTAAAGTTAATATGTTCAAAACAATTCATTTCATCCGTTTCGGGTTTTAAAAATGTCTTTTATTTAAGTGTGGCATTAAACTGTACTCTACTACCAGCAAAACACCAAAGAACGTTCATATCATAGATAAACTAGTGGTGTATGGCATTTTGCCTTACGGCAAACTGCTGGAACTCCCCGTACCGTAACGAAATGTTTGAGGAATATTAAATGTTTTCAAATAAATTGTTATAAATACTGTAAAATTGTTTAATATTTATAAGAATTATATCAAATGAATCACGAAGCAAAAATATTTATTTAAAGTATGTGAGCTTTAATACTTTAGCGAGAATTAAAATTCAAATCTGAATTATTTTCCATAAAAAAATGAAATGAAATTTTTTTTTTCCGAAAGCAATTGTTTTGTCAACACAAACAGAATTTTTTGTGAATCATTCAATTCAGATGCTTATTTCTCTCAAAAACTGCCATTTTTTGTACATTTATCTCTGTATCTTCGAAATGGCTTGGTCTGCCTTTGCCCAATTATTACTAATTAAATATTGTTTTAGATCATTCAAATCGGATGCTTCGTTCTCTCAAGATCTCGATTTCTGTTTTCTGCACTCTTTGCTCTTAATCTCCGTAACGGCTGGACCTGTCTTTGCCAAAAACTAATCAGCACATCTCTCTACCATTAGAAATCGATTTTTTTTTTAACCATTCGAATCGGTTGATCCGTGCGCCCGAAAACGTGAACGAAAAAAATGCGTACACACAGAACACACACGCACACACATCCATTTTTTCTGAGGTGTGCCAAAATGTTCAAAATGTTCTGACTATAATAGCTTAAGGGCGAATGCCTGCTTTAAAGAATTAAAAACGTCAATTTTTTTGCAAAAATGTCTTCCAAAACTAGCCAAGAATATATCCCAAAAATAGTGAGCAAACGTCAAGCATGTATACGAGCGGAACAAAAACTTCGACGCGCGATATCTCAGTTTTTATTTTTTTCGATTCTTCCGCAGAAAAGATAGGAAAAGAATTAAACGTCGTATTTAAACGTCAGCGAAAAATTGGTGAATTTCTCATTTTTTTAGATTTAACAAGAATCTATACTATTGAAAATATGTACTTGTTTTGGGTTTTTTTGTTTCCGTGCTTTCAGTTCTCTGTATTTCCCCTTTTCGCGTAAGTCATTCTTCTTCTTCCCATTCCTTTCAGTATTTTCTATTTTGCCTTCAATGATGTTGTGTAGGAGATATTTTTTTTGCAGAATGGGTCCGATCCACTTTTCTGTTCTTTTCACGATCGTGCCCAGTAGAGTCCTTTCTTCGTCCACTCTTCTCAGGACTTCTTCATTTGTTATCTTGTCAGTCCACTTTATTTTTTCCATTCGCCTCCATCACCACACTTCAAAATTCTCCAGATAGTTCTTGTCGGCTTTTCTTAGACTCCATGCCTCTGATCCGTACAGAGCTATGCTCCAGACGTAGCACTTTATTAGTATCTTCCGTAAGTCGAGACTCTGTTTGCTCGTCAGTAGGGTTCTCTTCTTCCTTCCTTGTCCTGATCTCTCTCGTGCAGTATCCGTCTCTGGTCAAAACGCTTCCTAAATATCTGAAACAATCAACGTCTTCTAATTCTCGATTTCCTACTGTCGGAGGATCATCTCGTTTTGATACTCTCATCACTTTCGATTTGACGGTGTTGATTTTAATGTAAAACTTTGTCTATTAAAAAGGGCGCCTGAACGGATTGGGCCTAGGGCGCCAGAGAGCTTAATCCGCCACTGAAAACATAAAATTAATTTACCAGACGTTTCTGTGGTTGTTAAGCATGTCTTTTGCAATGAACGAGAGCAGTGTTAACTTGATCTGTTTTTTGCCTCCCTTCTCTCCATTCGTTACAATAATAAAACTGCAAAAAATGATATTATTAAGTATAATAATAAGTAGCGTAAATAATAAATGACGACATTAACCAAAAGTTTGTGTATTGCTGAATGTTTGCAATAAGTATATCAAAGTTTATTTGTGTAAAATAATGTTTTCCAAATCATGTGCCTCGTTTGCGATACAAAGGGTTAGTTCACCTAAGTTATGAGATACCTAAAGATTTTCATATCACGTATTGTCATTTCAGGCAGCTTTCTTTTCATTTGTACTTGCAAAATTTGCTGTTATTGTTTCTTTTAAGGTATAGGTGATTTATGTAGATTATATGTATAAATTTATATATTTGTAATAATCAATTTTTATTTTTATTTAAGAATCAATTTAATTATTTATCAACCATCTTGCAAAGTCAATTGTACAGCGCACGTGTATATACAAACTACAGAAATTTCGTGATTTGTACAATTTCGAATGCCCAGCAAAGTTGTTTATGTCACTGCGTGCGGCCGACCTTAGTGTCGCTTTTGGCCCGTAAATTTGGATATTAGCTGCTAAGTGAAGGGGTTAAAATCGGTTGGCTCGCATGATTTAATTCATGTTTATTTTTTATATTTATGTTATTTATTATTATTTTTTATATCATTATAATATTGAATTAAATTAAAACATTTTTTTTATATTTATGAAAAAATTGTGTTCATACATATTTTATCACAGTAAATATTTCGCGGCTTGATCGATTTGATTCGAATCAAGTAAAACCTGATTCGAATCAAGTCGTTAAAGGCTTGATTCGAATCACTTGATTTGGCTTGGCACATCACTAATTTTATCTGTATTATATGTATTATTTTTAAGACCTCTTGGAACTATTCTATGGGCTATGTGTTTAAATAAAAAAAAATTACGTTAATAACCCTTCTGGTTATCTCAGAAAGAAAACGCAACAAAACATTCCTTTAGAACATGATTAGTTAATCATTATGCAGCTGTCTGTATTGCTATCTTCTAAAATCTTTCCTAGACTCTAAATTGTATTTATATCTCAGCATAATAAGAAATATATTATTTTCACTAAAATTATTCAATTGTTATTTTACCAATATAAATTAGAAGTTTTTTTAATATATGTAAGTATGTATGTATATGTATATATGTAGATATGTAAAATGTAATATATATATATATATATATATACACAAGACATTCGATACTTAAAAGTCGAGTTTATCAGATAATTTGTATTATCGAGTTTGTGCACATAGTATATACCTCTTTCTTAATAAAAACAATTAAATATTTTCAATTGAAAATCAATTTTATTGACAATAATGAAGAACAAGCGCAACTATTCTACAAATATTGCATACTATTTAAACATCTGCATTCTCTGATATAATAAACTGACAACAGTTTATAATTATAAACTGATATTTTATAAAAAATATAGTGTTTTAATTTAAATCAATCAAGAAAATTCTCTATGCAAGAATTTTAATATACATATACATATACATTATATATGTGCAAAAATAATATTAAAACATTTTAAGACATACTTGTGCAATGTCGAATATCTCAACATTTAAATTAAAAGAAACATTCTTATGAAGTATCTTATTAATCATACTCGTAACCTGATTTAAAGTACTTTCTAGCTTAATAATTAGTTATTAGTTGATTAAAATATATTAAATGACTTAACCAGGCACCTTTTTTCATAAAAGTTAAATCTAACATGAATTTTTCTTATTTTAAATGCGCGCTTATGTATAATTAATGTTGTACTTGTACTATGAGCTTAATATAATATTTCTAGAGGGTCACAAATGACCCAAAGATGATATTTCAACATAAATCTCTAATCATAATTTTTACTTATTTTATAACTATTCAATTAAGTTATTTTCTTTTTAAGAATATAAAAGCTGTATAATTTTGTGATAGACATCTTGTAGTACAAGTTTTACATTATTCGGCATTTCTCTTGGGCAGCCTGCGGATCTTCCTGAAATTATAGTAAGAATTAGAATAATTTCACAAAAAAGCAAAAAGAACAATAATGCCAAACAATAAGATTTATAAAGCAAAACAGAATGATTATAGATAACTATCGAACAGTAGCATCGTTAGTAGAGGTAATTTATTGTTATAAAATATATAATAGTATTGTTAAAAAAAAAACATGTTAATATAATTTGAATCACATTGATGACAAACTTCTGTAAATGGATTCAGTCAGAAAAAAAAAATCAATGTACTTGTTATTTCCCTTTGCATATATTAATATATGAAGATCATGCTCTTATAGACAAGTTTTTTTTTCAAATACATTTAGAAGTAGATTATATATATATATATATATATATATATATATATATATATATATCTATATATATATATATATATATACATATATATATATATATACATATATATATATATATATATATATATAATATATATATATTGTAACGGAAATGTATGTTATAATGCGTTGCATGACTATTTAACAGAAGTAGTAAAATATGTTGATTTCATAAATATTTGTCTGCAAATTTTAGATAGAATTAATTTTTACCATGGATAGAGTGCAATTATCTACCTTTGTAAGAATTTAAGAAACTGGTAAATAACAAGTTCAGTGTGGCAACTAATTGTGATATCATAACCCTTGGTAACGCATTTTTTTTTTTTTGAAATACAGGTTAATATAAAAATCTAACATTAAAATATTAGATCATATTTTCAGAATGACTTAAAACGTTCTCCTATGTATATAATGTATGCTTATATTTTACATTAAATCATATTACGGATATTATTTTCATGTAAATTTTATCCTTTGCTCTTTTATTTATTTAAATTTATATTATTATTTATCAATATTACTTGATGTTAATAAATTAGCAGTTGTAATAATTATTGAAATTAAAAAAAAAAAAAAAATGTATATAATGTGCTAAAACTTTATAGATTATTCAACATGCTCAAAGCATGCATTTATAACAAACATTTTGATTTGATTGAAGTGCAATAGAAGCCAAAAAATAAGCTAACATATAGTGAAATCACCAATTCAACTTTAATATTTTAAAATCGTGTATAACTGATAGTTTAAATTCAAATGTTTATAAGTTGAAATCTTTGTTCAGAATAATTCTGGAGCTTGTAAGTTAAGAGAAAAATTGGCGATACCAACTATATATTTCTCCACGATAAGTTTCTGATTACGTAGAATTAGCAGAATTATTGGTTTATTAGATAAGTCACATGTGGTTGACCAATTTAAGATTTGCATTTCGGAATGCATTAACATAAATCATCACAAAGTTTTATCAAAATGATTTTTTTGAACAATTAATGCGGAAGAAGCACGCTTTATGCGGAACGAGCAGCTCTATTGGTTATTCGGGCAGTTCTATAATTGCAGGCAGCGGGTGGCTCTACCCACTCTCAAACCGCGAACGCAAATTTTATATATATAAATCAAGTTTTTTTTTTCATTTATTATGTCGAAGATTAGATGTATTAACGATGTATATGATTGTGAATTTATATATCTTACTATATATTATTATTACATTATTATCAGATAAACAGTTTTTTATTGATATTCTGATAATATTTGAAATTATTTTATCTCACTATTTTCCAAGTATATGATGTTTTATTTTATTTTTTATTATCATCAAGTAGATAATTTATAATGTATATAATATATGAATTGTTTTAAAAAAGACAAAATGTTGAATTTCAAGAATTCAACGATCTAAATTCTGAGAATCGGTGGCTTTTGGGAGTAGTTATATCTAGACAGTATACATTTCTAACTTTTCTTTTCAGATACTTTGCAAGTAACAGGTAATTTTATGCCCTGCTTCATAAACAATGAAAACCGGTATTTTAATCACATTATTATATTAAAACCTATTTCCATAATAAATTTCGTTTAATGGTGTTCGCATTACCAATGATTATTTAACATACCTGTATTTATAAAATCTTGGGTCTTTCATTCATATAACAAGTTTGATTCATTCAATAAATTCATAATAAATATTTATTTTGAAAAAAAAAAAATAACAATATTACCATGATATGCTTAGACCTTATAATACAAGGATGTATAAGGGTTATGGTGATTCAAAGTAAAAATGATTATAATTTTTTAATTAATGTATATGAATGATATTTTATTATCCACATCGATTAACTTGAGGGTGTCCCAGACCTTGACGTCAAGTCGAAACGGGGTTAAAATATTGTCCTTAACTATACTGAAAAAAAAATCGTCCATTCTTTGAGAATCATGAGCCATTACAATCATTTTTCAGTTTTTCTTTTAATACTTTGAACTTGTTTTAATTTTGTATATTTAAATTTTGGAACCGTAACCGTGCGTAACACTTCTAGGATCACAGTTAAATAAAATACAATTGCCCCACGTTTTCAAGAATTAAGACTTATTGTTGAACTATGAATCTAAAAATTTCAAAATTTTCGACTTTGAACAGCCCTCCCCTTAAAAAAAAAACCACTAAAGTGTTATGTGGCAAATTTCATCAAAAATTGGGGCATTTTATCAGGATTGTAAGATGATAAAATACTTGATAATTTAATTATTGAAAAAATTCGAATAAAAAAGTAAAAACCCAATTACCTAGCTAGTTGAAAGTAGCATTTTGCCTTAAGGAACTTCCCGAAATGTGTCAAAATTGAGATTTAGCTATTTAAATAAAATTTTCAACTGCACGATTACATATATAATATTCACAGTCCTCGACATAAATTTAATTTAATGGTAACATTTTTTTACACAACTAGATATGTTTTGTAAACTTATTTTTCCGCTAGTTTAAAAAAATGGCTTTCAAATCATATTTTTTTGAATTTTGATACATTTTTAAAATTCTACGACTTGAAAGGCCGTAATATTTTAGTATGTTCTTTAGTGCCATGATGTCTATCAACATAAAAAGTTTCATTGAATTGAACAAACGATAGTCCTCATCAAAATACATCGAATGATTGAATTGAATTTTTGAGAAAATGTCGATGTAAGGTAAAAAATCAGTTCACACACACACACACTTCCAAATTTGATCTCATTCGATTCAGAATGTCTTGAAACGTCGAGAAAACAAAATTATAAATCAGATTTTTTGATAAAAACAAACTTCTTCGGGAAGTTAAAAATGGCAACCTTCAATGTGCTAGAGAGGAACATTGAAACTGAATGAAGTAAAATGTATCACTTTGTGTCCACTTAACTTCAAGGTCTGGGTATATATATATATATATATATATATATATATATATTTTTTATGTGTAGTGTCATTGCATATTAAAACATGCATTCCCAAGGCATATAAACTGCAAACTCTGTGCTCTGACCAGCGGTGATGAAAAAAATATCCAAACCAAAATGAATTGTTAATACATGTACAAACAGGTAACTAATATATAAATTCGTCATACTTATCGAATCACTTCGAGAAGGATCCTTAGGCACATGCACACATTGATTAATATTTCAATTTGTAAGACTGAAAAATTAAAACACGAATATATCAACAGCCCCTTCATTTACTAAGATATAAATTCATATGCTAAAATATCAAAATCTATTTTACACAAAACACTGGATCAACAGCTAATCGCAACAATGTGGATAATTAAAAAATAAATTTATAATAAATACCTGCTGATGATAAAGTTCTTCAGACCCAAGAGATCTAAATCCAGAATCTCGCATGCGTGAAGAACGACTCGCCAACTTATTTCGCACAAGTTCAGATGTTGCGATTTCCTATTCAAAACAATTGACTTTCCAATTATCAATTCCAAATTAAATTATTTTAATTATTCCAATTAATTAAATTTAATTATTAAGTTATTAAAAATTTTCATTAAAATATTAAGATTTATTGTGTACATATTTAACATAATATTTGTATAAAAAAGTTTTAAATATGCAAATAGTGTTTGCCAAAGATAAATAATATATGTATGCGATTAATTACCTCTCCATTACTGTTGGCCAATGATGTATTAATGTTATCACCAACAAACCATTTTTGTCCCTTCATAACTATATTACTGGGAGGTTCATGGTCTTGTCCCTCATCGGATGACCAAACCGTAGTACTTGCTCCAGGCTCAAGTTTGAGAGTACGGTGAAATTTGAACACAGTTTCAGCATCACCTGCTTTTCGGGTAATTTGCCAGCCACCAAGAGAAACTTCCTATTAAAAAACATTTATACATCACTCGCAATTCATACAGGAATGTAGAAAATAACAGTATTTTATTTTAAAAATTTTTATAATAAAAAAAAATAGAATTTACTGTGATTCCTTCCCATGTAACAAGTATCAATTGATTTTTAGTCAAACTAAGTTTGCTTGAAAGCTCATATCTTCAGAAATGATGCTTTATTAGCAAATCACAATTAACGTAAATCTCCTTTAGTAATTGTTGAATAATTTCTATGAATTATTTCGAAATTTGTCTTCAATGTTATTTATTATATAAATATGTAACATAGTGCAAGCAAATTAAGTGGAGTTCAAAAGTTAGTATTTTACCTTGGTTCCTTTATTTGTAAGTTTAACAAAACGTCCTTCCGTGTCACTTTTTGTTATTTCAATATCTCCTTTGCAGGTTGCATGCTCCGTAAATTCACTAAGACTGCTTTCATGCGATTCTTCCAGTAAAGTGCGTTTACGTTTTCCACCTAGGCGTGATGGAGGACGACGTGACATCAGGGGGGTGCTGCGACCGGCCTCAGACTTTCCCGATCCTGATTGTTGGCTGATGTTCAATCTATTCATAATAAAAATATAATGGTAATTTTAAATTAATTATGAAGATTATTGATTTTGTGTATCACAGTAAATATCATTACATATTAAATTCTAAGAATCCATCAAATTACAAATAGACTTAAAACCTATATCTATATAAATGTATCTGTATAACCTATGTGTGGACTGTATTTTATAAAATAGAATAAAGTTCGTCAACTCTTGCAAATGTTCCATTATAAACATAGATGGTAGTACAGCAAAAAAAAAATTATGTTATGAGAACAATAACATAAACTTAACACTTGGCATGCGGGCATACTTCGCCGCCGAATTACGCGTGCAGCGGGCGTTTTTTCGTGTCGCAAAGCCGGCGAAAATACAAATCAAGAATATTATAAGAATATTTATTTATTTGACCTGCCATGAGGAATCAATTTTAAAAAGTTTTTATGTCCTTTTTGGTATAAAAGGCTACGGATCTTTATAATGTGGTTTATACCACATTTGGTTATTCAAAAGGATCGCAGAAAATCGAACACTACTTCGTTTTTATGAACGAGCTTTTTTTATTTTACCTGTACAACTAGAACCGATAACTAATAGTTTTTTACAGTATGGTACCATTCGAAGCATTATCCTCTGTGAAGAGGAACACAGCAGAAGCTACATAAGAAACATGTTTCACTTCGCACTTTTTGAAGTTATTTCAGAATTTTGCTTCGGACGAAGACTCGAGAACGTGGAATAATATCATCATCGTCACTTTCTTAGAATTCTTGACTTTCAGAACACTATCATACGAAAAGTCCGATAATCTGTCAGCGCATATTTCTTCATCACTATCTTTGCCACAACGGCTCATTTTATCAATTTGTAATCAACAATAAAAAAAAACAAGCCTCAAATTGACAAAACACGACTTGTACGTTCTGGAGCTAGGAATTCGATTGAAGACGAAATAACTCAACAAAAGACCAATAATAACTTGTGAAAAAAATGCAAACACCACGCATATAATGTCATACACATGCATATAATTATTCGTATTTAGTAGATTTGTAGTGGTTAGATAACTGATCCACACCAAATATTCTAAATACGTATTTTTACGTGACCCGCGCTCCAGTGAGACTACAATAAACGTAAAAATACGTTGCTCGCATGCCAAGTGTTATAATACATCAATGTATTAATAAAATCGTGTTAACTGCAAATTGTAATTTATTAGTAACTCTTTCAGACAATCTATAGTTTTACAGTACATATTTTTAATCAGTTTTATAATACTGACCTGGCTTCCTCTCCTTCTAACAACTTCCTATAAGCAGCAATTTCCATATCTAAGCTGACCTTGATATCCATCAGATCTTGATATTCTTGCAATTGCCTAGCCATTTCCTCGCGAAGACGAGTCAATTCCGCTTCTAATACACGCATATCATCAGAATGACGCATACGCTCGTGTTCCAGCATTTTTTCCAATTCTCTAATGCGTTGCTGCAAATAAAAATGAACTAATTATAAGGCCCATGTTGCACAAATATAGTGATAATGATAATTTGTGTAATTTTTTATGAAATTGTAAAAAATGGGTACACTGTCAAAACAGCTATCTATCTCGTGATTGTACTGTAAAATATTGACAGCTTACCATCATAGCTTCATATATATGAGATTTTTTTGTTCGAAATTCAAATATTTTTTAACACATTTGCAACTAATATTTTGACTATTTGGTCACTAAATTCATTGGTGATGAAATAATAAATGACCAAATAACATAAGTATTCAGCAAAATTTAAGATCACTTGCAAAGTAAAAAAAATAAAAGAAATTACAAGTACATCTGAATTTCTAAATTCACTATATGTTTTATTTAGAAAAGATTAATTATTTTAAAATATTTCAAATTATTGTTCATAATTGTTCTGATACGTAAAGCAAATGTATGGCAAAATTAGTCAAAATTATCAAACAAATAAATATTTATAAATAATTAATTCAATTCTAATATTATTCTAACAAGTAAAGTGGCATTTAGCCTTAAGGCAAGTTGCACGAACTTTCCGAAATGTGTATGAATTGATTGAAAAAATCGATTTTTTTTATTTCATATTTTCAAAGTGCAACTATCTAAGAATATGATTAAGAGAAGGTTTTTGAAAATTTGAATTGTTTTCGGAGATATAGGCATTTTACTGACTCGGTCTCCATACTCGTTTGGCTTCGCGCAAAACTTTAAATGCGTTTTTCTCAGAACAGACTTTTTCAGTACTGTTGACACGATTTCTCGAGTTCTACTCGACCGATTCACTTGAAATGTTCAGAGAGTCTTGTTTATCGACCTATCTATAGCCCAAACTAGGATTATCCCCAAATTCCAATTTTTACTATTTTTAAAAAATTCGAGAAAAACGAAAACAGTAAAAAAGCACTTTTTTTTGAACAGTCGCCAATTTGTGAAAAAAAAAATCTTTTTACTCATCGCTAGTTCAGGCGATTGCGACATCATTGCAGATTAATAATCTTTTTATTTTTTGCATTTCCGATGTCTAGGAGGGCTTAAATCCTGTCAAGACTGAGGTGCCAATTTTTTGAGACCACCCACTTCATCAGCTGCCAGTTTTTATAATTTTCAACTTTATTTTTTTATTTTTGTTTTGTATTTTAATAATATTAATAAACAAGTGATAAAGAAATGGATAGTAAAAACATTGATTATTTTCTTTTACGACACTTTAAAAATGACCTAAAATTTATCGCTCTACACTAGAATACCCTCTTAATCAATCGAAATTTAGATATTTAGATAAAATTTTCAACCGTTTATTTCAAAAATTAAGTTATCACTTTCAATTAAATCTAAACATTGCGATCTCGATAGGAATTTTCACACATTTAAATAAACTAATTATATTTATTATATTGCACAGACACGTGCTTGTATGCCCTAAAATTGTAGCTTATTATTTTAAATTTTAATGAATTGGTAATGTTGACTCATCATAATCATAAAAGCAACTTTTGACACAAACTTTTACTATAATAATTTTTCAAACTTTGATGAATTTTTAACATAACGATTTGTCATAGAGCAGTAAGATTTTAGTATGTTCTATAAGACTATGATATCTATTGCCAGAAAAAGGTTCCTAAAAACCGACAAAAAAAATGTTTTCAATAGTGAATTTCAAGAAAACGGCATGGTAGATATAACTAATCAGTATCATTCCCAACCAATATTTTTCAAACAGTTTTTAATTTTTTAAAATTGATTCAGAATTTAGAGCTAAAGCGTCAAGGTTTTTAAATTTTTGAAGTCGGTCCAGCCGTTTTTAAAGAAAACGTCGATTCACGGTAAAAAATCTGTTCACATACACACACACACACACGCATACTTTTTCCAAATTTGGTCTTATTCGATTCAGAATGGCTTGAAACGTCGAGATATCAAAATTAGCGAATTGGATTTTTTGAAGAAAACAAACTTCTTTGGGAAGTTAAACATAGTGAACAAATACAGCTTTAGTTAGAAATATTTTTTTAGAATTAACTCGGTATCTTAATGATGAAATTTAAGTGTTACATGGATATACTTAAATAGTCTACACACATTAGCAGCATTGTATGAAGCCTCCAACTCATTAATGCGGCTGGATAAACCATCGATCTTAGTTCTGGCTAGTCTTAGTTCTTCAATTGCTGCTGTAGCAGCACCACTGTTGCGAGTAGCCATGCCTTGTAAATTTTTGATCTGAGGAGAATGAATATTAAGAATTAGTAAATCAAAGTGCAAATAAGTTTATAATATGTATGCATAATGAGCATGTACACCTAAGTCTGTTTTTACACGGTAGATTGGTTCCAGAAGAAGCCGTGTAAAAAAAAAACGTGTAAAAAAGACATTGATCTTATACAAAAATGGGTGATTTGTTCCTAATCTCTAAAACCTATTAAAATTAGTAAAAAACAAGAATTTTTAGGAACAAGAATTCATGTTTATTTTAATAATAATTCCCCTAAATTAGTGCTATTCACATTTGCTTTGACCAGTAAAAATTGTTTGTACGCGCTAAAGGGGAATTCACTTAAATCTTTAAGCTAGTGTTCGCAAACTATCGATACTATCGATGGTTTCAGACTTTTTTCTTTCATAAATACTTTTTTGTGATATGAACATACTTCGCAAAAATTAAATTTGACAAAAAAAATGTAAGTACATAAAATTTCAAATCGTGCTAAATGGAATAAAATCGTGTGAAAAAATTCAAAATATTCAATTTTCAAACCGTGTTATATCAAAACCGTGTACAAAAAGACCATGTAAAAACAGACTTAGGTGTACTTAATATTTTATTACGATTTAATAAAAAAAACCTCCCATCTATCTATCTCAGTGCCATAATTTGAGAAGAATATTAAACAAACAAAGAATATTTATGTATGGGTGTGTATGTTGGAATACAATTTTTCAGTCTCACCTTAGATAACAAGATTTATTACATTTTTGTTTTTAATTTTCACCTGAAGGCAGAATCTTGAACATGATATATATAAAAGTACACATACAAAACACATTACAGACAATTTTTTGTAACACAAAAATGCAATTTTGCATTCAGAATAATTTTTTTCACTATGAAGTATTAACCCCTTGAGGACGAGCGTCACATATATGCGTTTTACGCAAATCATCAAATTGGTTGAAGAACTCAAATATGCGTTTGGCAAAGACAGTTATTAAAGCCGAGGAACGCATTATGTGTCCCATCTAAATATACCAAACTGAATAGTTAAGGAACAAATAAACATTATCGATCCTGTGTATAATATGTGTATATAAATATAACAATATGTCCAGCATTCGAGTTGGAGTGCTAGAATTTGAGTTAGAGTGCCAGAAATATGCGTTGGCAATTTTAAATGACTAAAGCGGCAGTTTGTAGTACGGTTTACTACAAACCGTCCCGTCTTCAAAGTATTAAACCAGGCAGAAATGTTTACCTTTTGTTCATATATGGCTTCAATTTCAGCGCGATTTGAACTGATTTGTCCCTCATACTGATCGCGAAGTTCCTGCATTGTCTCTTGCATTTTCGCTTCATATTGTTCCGCAAGACGACCATCAATTTCACTTAATTCAACTTGACGTCGCTTGCGAGTTTCTGTGAGTTCTTGCTGATAAACCTATAGGAGTGTTAAAATAGCAAAAGTAAAAATAATAAATATTTACTACATTTTTTTCTCAATACAAACGGAAGTATGATAAGGGTATTTATAAGAACCTGATCTTTGAAAGCAAGTTCCTCCTTCAAGCTCTGCAAATTGTTTTCAACATCTACACGAGCTAATGTTTCTTCCTCTAGATTTTTGCGAAGTTCTTCTAATTGTCTCCTGAGCTTATTCAGCTCTTTCTCTAATTCCTTAAAAATAGTAAAATACATTAATACCCAATCATATTTACTCAATATGTTATCGTGTTCTATAATCCATAATGCCATTATGTACCTTGCAATCATCCGTTGCTTTTTTTCGTTCTAATATAGCCGTGTTGTATTTACCATTGAGTTCTGAACATCTGCTCTCATACATTCGAGCATTATTTTCAGCCAGGACTAAATCCTTCGATTTCTTGTCTAGCCTGAAATTAAATTAAATTAAAATTAAATGTATATATAAAATAAGTTTTTAAAATAAACAACGATTTAGACAAAAATTCAAACAATACTTTACTCAAATTTAGATAAACTATTATATTATTACATTACATTAAAGCAATTACAACTGTTATGTATATTATGGTTCGTCCAATAACTTTCTTTTGAAAATGCTATCGAGAAAACTACTGAATATTTTCCCAAATATATTTTTTTTTATTTGAAAGCATAATCATTTCGGGTAATAATAGGAGATAATTTCATTCAAACGGTAGCCATGCATCATCAGTAGCACGAAATATGCACTAGTTGGGGAAAAAAAATTGATGTTGAGATATATGAGTAAGTTCTTGAGGGCGATACATCAAACAAAGAAAAGGCAAAGATTTATAAATTAATCTTTTTTTCGAAACGTTTCGACATACAATTTAATGTCATCATCAGTGGATCTAGAAGGTAAAAAATTTGAAAAAATTATATAAACTAGGTAACTTTGAAAATTATAATTATTTTTGTGTATATGTATATGTATATGTATGTACGTATATATGTGCATGTATTTATATATATATATATATATATATATATATATATATATATGGTAAGCGGAATTTGAAGTTCATCGGGTCAAAAGGTCCACCGCAAATATTTCAAACACAAGTAAAAATATGAATTTTTGAACGATATTTGAAAGAGGTATAACCAGCCGTCGCCTTAATTCTTGCAACTTTGCTATCTGCAGATAAACGACAATGTACGAAAATATAAAAGTATGTTTTATCGTTTAGTTTTTTTTTTTTTGTGACTCCTCCAGTTTTGTTTACTTCACGAGACCTCAATATATTTTTTGAGTATAAGTTTTTTAATTGTTTTATAAGTTATATTCTTAATTTTAAGTAAGATTCAACAGTTTTTTTTATATAGCCTTTATAATAACTAATATGTGAATTGGGTTAGAAGGACCAACAGAACCTTTACCCTTACAAAGGTGTAAACAATAAAATATAGTAAATAAAAAAAGCAATTTTACAAGAGGTTAGTTAAATAAATGCTTATTTCAACCTCGCGGATGATTTTTTTGTTGATATACCACATCTCAAGGTTGAATACAGTATTTTCTCCAGGTCAGAAAAAAATGTACGCGAAAAATGTAAATTTTGCATTGGTTGTATAACGTAGCTGTTATTTCGTAAAATCCTTTTAAACTAAAATCTAACATTGAAACTGTTTTCTCCGCCTATAAGATAAAGAGAAACAAGTTACAAATTTTTGAAAAACACCAAAAATAACATTTCTAAAATAATGATTTGGCTGTGATTTTTACTTAACATAGTCAGATAGTTGTTTGATACGTGTTATTTATTGAGATATAATTAGTTTGGTTTTCACAATATAATTGCTCAAAGTCAAATTGGATCTTGTGATATGAGATAATATAAGGTTGTCAAATATCTCCCTTCCGCTTTTTTGCTCTTTATTCAATGCTTTATAAAAAGTGTTACAGTGATCGGATTTAGTTCAAATATGCGCCGTTTTGTTCGATAATCTGTTTCCATCTAGACGGCAACTTCATATACCTCCCTCGTAGAAGCCCCCCTCCTTATTTGCGAAGAACTCGGACAGCCACTTTTCACAAGCCTCTTTTGAGTTCAACTTACCCACCAAGGGCATTCGCCATGGACAGGAACAGGTGGTAATCACTTGGCGCTATGTCCGGGCTATATGGTGGATGCGATAAAACCTCCCATCCGAGCTCCCGTAGCTTCTGACGAGTC